CCCTGGCCAAAGTTGTAAAGTTCATATTTCGACATAATTTCTTGCCATCTCACTTTGTCCCACTCCTATTTTAATCAAGAAGGAAAGCAATCTTCTACTTAACGTTTGACCGTTTTTATGCCTCCGATCTGAAGGGGCTCCTCGGACACCTTTTCTGGGGCACTGTGGGCACTGGAAGCGTGCTCAGCAGAGCTCTGCGCCCCGCCCCGCCCCGCCCCGCCCCGCCCCTCCTTAGAGTGCTCATGTACCGCACACACATAACTTGGTTCTTTATTGGTGAAGGTCTTAGTTTGTCTTCACTCTTTCAAGGTATTTTAAGCAGACATAGAAAGTTTTTTCACACACTGAGAGGTTATGCCACTGTCTTCCGGCCTGCAGTTTTCTGTGTTGTTTTCTTTTGTGCCAGTCCTGAGGTTTGAACTTGGGGCCTGGGTGCTGCTCCCAAGCTTTTTGTGCTCAAAGCTAGCGAGCACTCTACCACCTGAACTACAGCTCCACTTCTGGCTTTCTGGTCTTTAATTGGATTTGAGTCCCGTGGAAGGGTTAGGGATTTAGCTCAGTGGAAGAGCACTTGCCTGGAAAGAGCAAGGCCCTGAGTTCGATCCCCAGCTCTGAAAAAAAAAAAAAGTATATCATAGAGTTTCTTGCCCAGGGTGGCTTCAAACTGCAGTCCTCAGGTCGCAGCCCTGAGCAGCTTGGGTCACAGGCATGACCACCAGAGCCAGCGCCAGCCTGCAGTGGCGGATGGAAAGTCATGGTGGCCTGGTTTTCAGCAAACTCACTAAAATGTGTCTACCCGTGCACTTCTGTCTTGTTCAGACTTGCTGAGCTTCTTGGATCTGTGGATTTATTTCACCAGATAGAGGACATCTGGGGCCCACTGTTTCCCCAAGTTTTCAGTGACCCATTTCTCTCCTTCTGAAATCATTACGTTGAAGCTGTGTTGTCCCATGCATCCAAACCACTGTTGATTTCTTCAAAGCTCTTCTTCCTCCCCTCCTCCTCCTCTCTTCTCCCCTTCTCCTTCCATCCTCTTCTCCCTCCTCCTTTCCTTCCTCCTCTCTTCCCTCTCCCCCTCCCCCTCCTCTCCCTCTTCTCCACTCTTCCCCCTCCTCCTCCTCTCCCCCTTCCCCCTCCTCCTCCTCCTCTCTTCCTCCTCCCCTCCTCCTCCTCTCCCCTCCCCGCTCCGGCTTGGGTGGGTTCTGTGGCATCGCTGGCTCTTCGGCCTGTTGAATCTACTCTGTTCTGTACCACTGCATCTTTAAGTTCTCACAGGTTGTATTTCTTAGTTCTACTACTTACAGCTAGTTATTTTTGCTGATGTTTCCCTTTATTCATTCTCTCTTCCTTTACCTAATTACGTATTGTTATGGTAGCTGTTCTAAGTTCTTTGTCTGAGGGTTCCCCGGTTCAGGGCCTGGGCGTGTCCTGGGTGTGTGGCAGCTCTGCCCTCGGCCGCTGTTTCCGTGTGATGAGACTCGCACTGCAGGCTGGCTGCCCTGCGAGGGCAGCGGCTCACACTTCCACCTGAGTGCTTCAGCCTCACCGCCAAGATGCCCTGGTTTACCCTGGACTCGCAGGCATAAACCAGAGACCCAGGGAAGCCTGTCCACAGTGCGCAGCGCACACCTTCCATCTCTCTTAGCTGAGACGCCCCCCCCCCCTCGGTATGCTGAGTGCCGTGGCCACCCTGGCTGTCTCGTGCCGTGGCCACCCTGGCTGTCTCGTCCAACTTCACAGGTTCCCTCTGGTGAGCTTTGGCAAGGGCCCTGGTCTGAGGAGGGTGCTAACTGAGGCCCCCATCTGGAAGCTGCCTGCTTTGCTCAGACTCCAAAGCCTTTGAAGAGTGTTCCCATTTGGGGGGACTGTATTTTGTTCAGACTCTGTCCTTGTTACCTGCAGAGGAATTAGTACTAGAAGCTTCCTTTATCTTATCCTCCAGCCTCGAATTTTTATACCCAGCCAAAGTGCCAACTGTTACAGTAAAGCCACCGTGGTGTATATTGAAAACAATCCTCATACTGGGAGTTTAGGGGATATCTTCTGTCTAAGCAAGGCTGTGTGAATATGTATACACATGGGCCAGGCTTCAGAGACAGCCACGTCCTGAGATGGCAGCCATGGGACAACAGGCCTCGAACACAGAAGACAACCACTCAGAGCAAAACAGAAGACTTTGGGAGAAATTTCTTCAGGAAAAAGACAAATTTAAAATACCTAGTGGAGTTGAGGGTTTTGAAGAAATTCACATAATTAGAGAACTGTTTGGATTTGAATTACTGTTAAGTACACAGAAAATTAAGCCAATAAAAAAATTATTTTGCTCCACGGGAAAAATGTACAGGAAAAGACAAAGTAATCACAGTTAACTGTATGGCTTCACTATGAATGGGTGCTGCATAGCCAGGGTGGAAGCCTGAAGGTTGGTGTAGTTAAAACGCTGATGTCAACACAGCTGGAGGACAGCGGTGCTGGGAGTGGGGGAGGGCCAGGGGCAGGAGGCTCGCACCTGTCACCCCAGCTTCTCACCAAGCTGAGGTCTGATCCCCAGCATCAGGCTTCAGGACACTTGGGGACATTTTGCTGACCACTTCCGACTGCACTGGGGCAGTGGGGAATGAGGGGGTCCGTGTCACATTCACCACCTGGTAGGCGTACGCCTGCAGTGACAAATGGGGTGGGCAGCTGCCCCCAGCACTGTGTGACCCGCTGCCCGCCGCCCGCCCCTCCACAGAGGAGCCCGCCAGCCCAGCCCTTCCCAGGGAGCCCAAGCGCACCAGGCCTGTGCTCTGGGTGTCGCAGCAAATCAGAAGCAACAGCCCAGGTGACACCGGACTCAGCTCAAGACCAGCCATGTGCCGAGTTCATTCCATCCCTTTCCAAACTTAACACAGATAGCACCCAAGGCAGCGGTGGCTGATGGGGTCACCAGCCCTCCCCGCCGGGCCTGGGAGCCGGGGCCCGGCCTATGGCAGCACACGCAGCCCAAGTCGGAGGCCTCCCCACGGTGGGGCGGGTGGAGATGGGCTCTGACCTTCCTGTGTGCAAGCCTGACCGCTGACAAGCCCCCGGCGCCGCACGTGCGCTGGAGCACGGCTGGGCGGGGTTCCGGCCCTGGAGGCTGGGATGGACAGAAGGCACTGAGGGCCGCTGGCACTGTCTGTCCTCTCCCAGCTGCAGCCTGGCTGGGGCTGCTGCCGTGACTGGGAACACAGCACAGGGCACCTCCTGCTCTGGGTGGGGGCGGGGGGAAGCACCTCGTCGCGCGGCCTTCTCCAGTGCAGGCCAGGGTGCAGAGTCACGAGGCGCCCTCCTGGCTGTGCGCCGCGGCGGGCGTGGCGTGGCACAGCAGGGCTGGCCTGTCCCGCGCTGTGCGTGGCGGACGTGGTCCCCCGTGGCTCTGGCTCCAGCTGTGGCTTGGGGGATGGGTGCTCCTGAGCACACCGGGTTAGGCAGACAGCAGCTCGTGGGAGGGCCAGGACGGAGCTCCAGCCTGTCCAGCCCCCTGGGGCTGTGCGGGCTGCAGGCCCTGGCACCCCCTCTGCGGCGGCACTGGACTGGACGCCGGGCCGTCTGCCGCAGGGTCGGGACTCTGAGGCTCCCTGAGCAGTGCTCCCCCGCCGTGTGAGGGTGCTCCAGACAGGCCAGTCTGAAGCAGCGGCGAGTGAGTGCGGGCTAGAACGTGCCACACACCCCCAGCTCCCTACCCTGCCTCCGGGCAGAGGTGGCACAGGGGCACAGGGCAGAGAGGCCCGGCATTCGAAGCTCCTCCATTTCTCACACAGAGCAGGGAGGGGCCAAGCCTGGATGCGTGGGGAGGGGGAGGGGCACCTCCACATTGCCTTCCCTCTGGGGAGACTTCAGCTGCATATTTCTTAATGAGGTCAAAAAGAGCATTCAGAAAAGGGGCAGGGTCCAGCCCTGCCTCTGCTGTGGGATCCTCCGGAATCTGTGTGTGTGTGTGTGTGTGTGTGTGTGTACGTGCACGTGCACGCATGAAGCCCGTGCTCAGGGTCTTGGCACTGTCCCCAAGCGTTTTTTGCTCAAGGCTAGTACTCCGCCCCTTGAGCCAGATGGCTTTTCTGGGGGTGCTAAATTGGAAATAAGAGTCCCACAGACTTCAAAGAGTCCCCAGGCTTCAAACCACAATCCTCATAGCTCAGCCTCCTGAATAGCTGGGAAGACAGGCATGAGCCACAGGCCCCGGCCCCTGGCCACTTCTAGCTTTTTGCTAGGTAATTGGAAATAGGGGCGTCACAGCCTTTCTTGCCTGGGCCAGCTGCACACTGTGATCCTCAGAGCTCAGCCTCCCAAGTAGCCAGGGTTATGAGATGGGCGAGCGGCGCCCAGCTCATCTCTGCCTTCTGGCCCTGCGTCCCCTGTCCCAGAAGCACAGAGACACAGCCCGCCTCCTGATGCAGCACGGGCTGTGCCTGCCAGCTCCTAGAGCCAGCCCTCCGTGCCATCTCAGGCCTGCCAGCTCCTAGAGCCAGCCCTCCGTGCCATCTCAGGCCTGCCAGCTCCTAGAGCCAGCCCTCCGTGCCATCTCAGGCCTGCCAGCTCCTAGAGCCAGCCCTCCGTGCCATCTCAGGCCTGCCAGCTCCTAGAGCCAGCCCTCCGTGCCATCTCAGGCCTCGGGAGGGAGAAAGGAGGTGCTGGGGAAGGGGCTGTGTCAGTGTGATGCGTGCTTCCAAAATACACGGGAAACAAGGGCGGACTGTGAAGATGGAGTGCTGTGCCTGCAGCCCCTGGACATCTCGGGGCGCAGGGGAGACACAGAGCCGCGGGCCCTGGGAACTGGAGAACACTGGGGTGCGTGGCCTGGCTGCAGTGGGGGGGCGTGTGGAAGGTGCGGGCTGCAGGCACCCCACCCCCTACAGTGAAGCACCCTCCAGAGCCACTGTGGTGTCGGGGCTCCACTTCCCAGCGGGGGACCCCAAACCTCTCTCCACCTGCCCCAGCCGGCCTGCCACCCACCGGCGTGCCCCGTCTGCCCGCAGGTCAACAACGAGAATGTGGTCAAGGTGGGCCACAGGCAAGTGGTGACCATGATCCGCCAGGGCGGCAACCACCTCATCCTCAAGGTCGCCACGGTGACCCGGAGTCTGGACCCTGACGACACTGCCAGGAAGAAAGGTGCGTGCCCCGCAGGGCGCTCCTGGCTCCTGGCGGAGCAGGGGCCTCAAGGCCCGGACACAGACAGGGTCGTGACACTGGCCGGACCGGCCTCCATCCAGGGGACCCTGAGGCTGGGACGCTCCGGGACAGGGCAGGGGTGGAGGGGCGTGGGGCTCCTCTCCCGGCAGCCCCGTGCCGGCTGGGCCTGGGATAGGGTCTGGAGTGGAGGAAGGGCTAGGGCAGGGAGGCGGCAGGGGCTGGGGTGACTGTGGGACTGGTGGGGTCCCCCGATCCAAGGGCAGCCCCAGCCTTCCCCAGAACTTGCGTTAGCAGGAGGGAGGTCTACGCCCTGCTGACCTCAGCAGAGCACCACGCAGAGGCCTGCTGCTCCCTCCGCCCGGCCGGTGCCCAGCCGCCCCATGCCCAACCCAGCATCGCCCTTCGCCAGGGCGCCCTGTTGTGTTGGCCCCCCTGCGGGCCGCCCCGGAAAACCCAGGCTCTCCCCACCCTGGGGGCAGTGGGTGGCTGAGCCTGTGGGGTCCCAGGGCTTTGCGGGGGGTCCTCACGCCGGCCTTTGTCCACCCATCAAGCTCCGCCGCCTCCAAAGCGGGCGCCCACCACAGCCCTCACGCTGCGCTCCAAGTCCATGACAGCGGAGCTGGAGGAGCTCGGTAAGAGCCACTGCCCTCGCCAGGCCCCTGCTGCCCGCCCGGGCCTCGGGACCACCAAAGCCCTGCCCCGCCCGCCGCATGCCCTGTGCATGGCTCTGTGCTGCTGGCCTGCCCTCCACCCACCCGCATGGCGCTGCTGCACGCCCTTTGCCCTCTGCATGCCCGGGGCCTCACGGGGTGCTGGTATGGTGGGGGTTATCTAACATTGTTTTATTTTGAATTTTTGGGCCTCTCACTAGTGGATAAAGGTAAGCCGCCCCACGGGGTCCCTGCTGTCCAGGGCACCCCACTGAACCCGCCTCCGCTAGGCCCAGGCCTGCGCAGACCACCCCACCCCCACCTCCTTCCCCAGCCAGCCGGTGTGGCCATGCCCCGGAGCTGCAGGAGGCTCTGCCTTTAGAGCAGATGGTGCCTGGGGGGGGGGGGGGGGGGGGGGGGGGGGGGGGGGGTTAAGGGTGAGCAGCAGCCTGGAGCAGGCCACAGGGGGCACGGGGCGAGAAAGCGGAGGAAAGCAGGCTGCAGGCCGGCAACAGCACCAAGGACCCTGAGCTGCCTGGAGGACACAGAACCAGCGGAAAGCACATCCTGGGGCAGCACAGCAGGGCTCCTCTCCCCACCCCGGCCTTCTGGGGCAGAGTCTAACAAGATCCACCCCTCCTTCCAGGGCGGGGTCTAACAAGACCCGCCCCCGCCCTTCCGGGGAGGAGTCTAACATGAACACACACACCCCGACCCTCCAGGGCAGAGTCTGAGGCTAGGCAGCAGCACCCACCGCCTCCCCATCCTCCGTGTGACCCACACCATGTCCTTCCCTTGTGCACCAGGGCTGGGCAGTGGACGCGTCCCGTGTCCTGCTCCAAAAGGAGCAGCCCTCACTGGCTCTTCCCGGGGCCTTGGGGTCCACTGGGGCATAAACAAGCAGCACATGTTCATGGGGCTCCACAGAGGCCTCCCAGCCCTCAGCCTCCCTCCTCCCTCTGTCCTCCAGCCCTCAGCCTCCCTCCTCCCTCTGTGCTCCCAGCCCTCAGCCTCCCTCCTCCCTCTGTGCTCCCAGCCCTCAGCCTCCCTCCTCCCTCTGTGCTCCCAGCCCTCGGCCTCCCCCCCTCCCTGCCCTCCGGTCCCCGGCCTCCCTCTGTCCTCCCTCCCTCTGCCTTCCCAGCTGGTCAACCCCAAGCCTGATTTGTGTCCCAGCCTCCCCGCAGTGCTCTCTCCCACCTTGCCCCGGGCCTTCCCTGTCAGGAAGGGAGTCGGTTAGCGGCTGAGAAGGAGCTGGAGCGCAGGCACTGGTCCTGGGAGCCCCTCCCCCACCCCTACACGGTGCCCTCCCCTGCCTCTGCCATGAGCACCCTGAGCAGAGCAGGGCGAGCAGGGCGAGGCCCTGGGTGCGCGCTGTGGGGGGCTCTGCCATCGGCCGTGGCTCACATCGCTCCCCTTTCTGTTTGCAAGCCTCAGTCCGGAAGAAGAAGGGTAAGGGAAGCCAGTGTCTGTCTCCAGTCCTCCTGCCCCTCGCTCCTCAGTAGAAGAGAAAAACCCCCTTGTGACGGTTGTGTGAAGTCTAGAATGTGCTGTGAGCCTTGCATCCTCTCCCCCTCTCAGGGCTCTGCCCATGGGTCCAGCCCCGAACACCACCCCTGTCCCCGTCCCTGTCCCCATCTGCTTGGCTTCTGTCTGTGTGTCCCCTGGGCTGTCGGGACATCCTGCCTGAGCTGGCTGGGAAGCCCTGAGGACCTCGGAGCCCAGGAGCGCGTGTGTGGCAGGCAGTGGCGGTCAAGGCTCAGCCTGCTGCCAGGAAGTGGCTCTGACTGCTCTCCCCTGCCTGCCCGACCCGGCTCCCGGCTCGGGACGCTCGGTCCACAGCCCAGCACGCACACACCCAGAGCCCCCCACAGGATTGAGAGTGATTGATTGAGAATGCGGCTGCCTGCCTGCCTGCAAGCTCAGCTCAGCCAGGCACTGACAACACAGCGGGAGGGGCTGGAGCAGTCAGGTCACACACTACAGGAAGAAGGCCACCATGCTACCTGCTACCTGCTACCTGGCTGCCTCCTCCCTCCCTCCCCCCTCCCCACCACCCCACCTCCAGGCAGGGAGCGGCCGAAGGCCCGTGCAGCACCTCCTTTCTGGCGGGCAGCAGCAGATTGCCTGCCTTGAAGGGGGCCCTGCCTCGCAGGGGACGTGCTGGCTGGTTTCTGAGAATTTCCTCTCTAGGTGCTCGCTAACCTGAGGGGCCTGCAACCCCAGGCCCAACGCCAGTTCCCACCTCCCTGACAACAACGCACCCCCGGGGCCCCACAGAGCGGGCCCAGGGAAGCAGCGCACGGGACCCAGGGCAGAGAAGGTGCCAGGGCGCGGGCCACCTGCCCACCCTTCCCCCTCAGCAGAGGGTGGCCTCAGAGGGCCGAGTCTTGGAGATGGGACCCCACTTTCTGTTTGAACACAGAATGTGGTCCACACGTTGGAGCTGGACGCCCTGCCCCAGGCTGCCCCTCCCTCCTCAGGAGGCCTGGGAACAGGAAACGGCCCTGGCCTCTCCGCTTATGCTGCAGAGCATGTCTCCCCAAAGTCTATGCCCAGCAGAACCTACAAAGGGGGCCTTACCTGAAATAAGGCCTTTGCCAAGACGGAGTCCCACAGAGTAAGCAGAGGCCGTCCTGACGGTAGGGAGGAAGGAAGCCTGCGCGGCAGCTAGGTGGAGCAGAGCCTCCTCACGGCTGCAGGACTGAGAGGGGGCGGGCGGGCCTGCCCCGTCCTGCGACCTGTCCTGTGGCCTGCGACAAGTCCCTCCTCCCCCCGGGGGTGCACACTGACTGGACGCTGACACCCTGAGCTCAACAAGACGAGGACACACGCCAGCCAGTGCAGCGCTGGCAGCGGAGGGTGTGGGGCCACGACCTCTGACCTGCTGGGCTGGTGCCCACAGGGTAACTGGGCCCAGCACCCGGGGCTGTGGCATCTCTGGTTTGCTCCTGGAAGTGGCACTCTCATCCCAAGATAGGAACAAGGGCACTGGACTGTAGGTGAGCAAGAGAAGTGAGCCGTGGGCAGAGCGCAGGCCGTGGGCAGAGCCGGGCCATGGGCAGAGCCAGGCCTTGTCCTGCGCACTCTGGAGCACCGCCCTGTGACCCTCAAGCAAGCACCTCGGTCTGCAGACTGCATCCTGGAGGAAGTGAAGTGCTCTCCTCCCACAGCCGCGCGCTCTGCATGGAAAGCAGCAAGCGGGACCAGGCCCCAGGCAAGGATTCGTGATGCCCCTCACACCTCCACTCAAGACCTGCTCTGGAGTGCCTGCCGCCAGGCCAAGGGGGAGCAGGCCCCAAACCACTGCCCCCCGTGGGAGACGCCACGTGCCAGCCCAGACTTTGCAGGCGGTGCGTGGTCTGCTGCCACCCGGGAAGCAGATTTACAGCTTCCAAAGGGGCCCAGCTGGAAGCTTGCCCCGAGCTCAGCCGCCCAAGAGGAGCTCTGTTCCTCAGTGTGCCAGACCTGCTCCCCCAGGTACCAAGGTCCTGGTCGCCAGCCGCCAGGTGAGCTTGGGCCCGACCTTCCCCAGAAGACCACTGTGTCTCAGGCCTCCACCGCCTCTCCAGCCGATAACCTCCCTCCAAGAAGCCCAGCCCCAGCTGCCACCTGGAGCCACGGAGCTCAACCAAGGCCCCACCAGGCCCTCCCCGGACCTTGCCCACTCCTCCGCTCAACAGGCCCCGGGCAGGCCCGGCAAGGCCAGCAGCCCCGTTCTCTTGCCTCCTGCAGCTCACGCACAGACTGGGGTGTCTCTGTCGGAATCCCCACTGCTCTGTCAGACTCCAGTCCCCCACCCCGCCCCCAGCGCTGGGCCCCCGCTCAGTCTCCCTAGGCAGAAGGTCAGGACCAGCACGTTGATGAGAGGTGGTAGTTCCCGGGGCTCTCTGAAGAAGTAGACATGGCTCCCCAGTTCCCGGGAGACGTCGCCCTTCCTCAGAGAGAAACATGCGGGGGCCACCAGTGGCTGCACCTCTCCTGACACGACCAGCACCCACGACCCAAGCCAGCCGTGCCACCGCACTGGCCCCAATGGTCAGCCAGGCGCCCCTGAGCCCGGGCAGGGGAGAGCGAGGCCCGGCTGCCAGGGGGGGCAGAGCAGGGGAGAAGATGGGCACAGAGCTTGTTCAACCCAGCCATCAGCATACACGGAGGCCAGCCCAGAACCAAGGGCGTGGCTCCATGGAAGAAGATGCCAGGATGGGAAGCGGATGGAGGCGGGCGGGTGCGGCCTGCGCAGCACAGCGGGCAGGCGGTGAGCTGGCCCAACAGCAGGAGGCGGGCCCGGACACCCAGATGAGGCCAGAGACCGGGGGCGCAGGGAGGCCCGGGGGACCTCGGAGCCCAGTCAGCTGGAGTTGGCCGAGCACGGAGCGGGGCCAGAGGCTGCCAGCCTGCCACATTACAGGAGGGCAACAGAGGCCGCTTAAGGAATCTTTGCCACCTGTTGCTGGCAAGTGAAACAGGGACATGGTCCGGTGTCAGCAAACATCTCTCCCAAAGGACCAGCCCGTGAGCTCGTGGGTCCACAGCCGTGTGGTCGCTCCGGTGCCGCCGCCCTGCTCGGAGGGCGCTGCCCTCACCTGTGCACCCCTGGAACCCGGAGTCCCGTCTGGCAGGAGCCAGAGGGGCTGTGATGGGCACCGGCTCGTCCCCTCCTCCCCTCACCGTGTCCCTCAGGTGTTCCTCACCACCCTAGGGGTCAACGAGGCAACGGAGGTGGGGGGAGAGGGGACAGGGAGGCTGCCGGTGGCCAGCTCCTCCAGAAGCGGCCATCGAAGAGCCGCTTCCATGGCTCCCTGAACACCACAGACGCATAACCAGCGCTCACTTCACAGGGAGCCACCTGATCCCTGCAATGGGCTGGGGTTTCCCAGGAGAAGGCCTTGAGCTTGTAGAAAGAACGTTCCAGATGGTCTGCTCTTCCTGCCCTCTGCGGGCGCATGGGAGTGCCCACAGCACGGCTCTGCACGGACTCCATCTGGGGTCATTTAGGGCCCTGTAGGGCACATGAGGCTGGACACTGGCGCACGGGTCTCAGCCTGAGACAGGGCCTTTGCCATGTCGCGTCTCCCCAAGACAACCCCCACCATCAATCAGACAGCTCCAGAACACGCCCCGCCTTAAATGTTCATTCTAAATATATATGTATATATATATATATATATATATATTTCTTTAATTTCTAAGGACTACCTAAGCCTTTGGCTTCCTTGAGAACTGGGAATGTTCTAGTGCAAGGAGAATAAATGGTAGTTCCATGTGTGTGTGTGTGTGTGTGTGTGTGCGCGTGCGCGTGCACACATGAACCTGCACTGTCTGTGGCCCAGCCCGGGGCACAGGGTTCTTATCTTGGAAACTGCATTTGATTACAAAGGGGAACCCCATTTCTGAGTCTCCTCTTTTTAATTCTACAAGTTGAAGCTAGGTGCTAGTGGCTCACACCTGTAATCCTAGCTACTCAGGAGGCTGAGATCTGAGAATAGTGTTCAAAGTTCAAAGCCAGCCCAGCAGGAAAGTTTGCGAGAATCATTAACTCCACTTAACCACCAAAAACACCCAGTAGTGGCACTGTGGCTCGAGTGGTAGAGTGTGCTAGTCTTGAGCAAAAACTCAGAGACAGCACCCAGGCCCTTAGTTCAAGCCCCTGGACACACACACACACACACACACACACACTCCACAAATTGAGCCTGGCCTGGTGATATAGCCCTACAATCACAGTTCTCAAGAAGTAGGATCACAAGTTCAGAGCCAGCCTATGCTACAGAGCAAGACCTGATCTCAAAATATTAAAGAAAATAATCCAAAAAGTGGATAAGGCAGACCCTGGCATGAGGTCATTGACCCCACTGAGGCAGTGGAGACTCTGCTCCCAGCTCTGGTGACGTAGCAGCTGCAAAGGGGCGGGCTGAGCTGCTGAGGCCCACCGCCATCCCACCTGCATGTGCCCCTCTGGCAGGTGCGGTCCGGTCATGGGGCCCTACTGGATGCATGTGGCTAAGATGCATGCATGCGCCCCACGTGATCTGCCTGCCTGCAGCTCCAGGCGCTGGAGCTGTCGCTGCTCTTTTGCATTCTAACCAAGACAGCTCCTTCTGGAGGCAGTGGCCGCTCCAATCCTCTCTGTCTATTGCAGACAAACCAGAAGAGATTATCCCAGCCCCCAAGCCCTCGCGGACTGCCGAGAATGTAGCCATGGAGTCGAGAGTGGCGACCATTAAGCAGAGGCCCACCAGCCGGTGCTTCCCAGCGGTCTCCGATATGAACGTGAGTAGCCATGCCCTGGAGCTAGAGATGGTGCTCTGGGGGCCCTGGAGGGCAGACAGATGGACTTCACATCTGCGGGGGG